CATCTTCTGGCTTTCCTCCCCAGCTCGGTCCTGACTTGCACCTTGGACAGGCCCAAACCTCCGACCTCTCAGCACCTGTGCTCGGACCTTGCAGGTGCGATCCCCACCTGTGCGGTTCTCCCTGGCCCTCTACGCCCTGCAGGCCGCGTACAAGCATCCTTTCCCCAAAAGACAGAGCCTCGCCTGCTCTTTCCTTCTTCAAGCTCGACTCCCACCTCCACTCGCTCTTACTTTCTCTCTGTCTGAGCAAATGCCTGTGGTTCCTCCCCACTGAGCCTCAGGACGAGCTGAAGCTGTCCTCCAGGGCCTCCTGGCGTCTCTCTTCCTCCTTTGGAGCTGGCTCCGCCTGCACCCGCCCTTCGTCCTCTCTGGGCTGCAGGGGAAGGATGCTCTCCTGCTCTCAGCCCACCTCTCCTCTCTTTGGGGGCTGTCCCCTGACAGCTTGTCCGGCGTGTTCCCTGTTTACTCACGTTCTCCTTTATTGACTCTGCCAGCTTCAGTGCAAGTTCTCTTTTATCTTTAAACAAACATGTGCATAAGTAAGCATTCTTGCAACAAGCCTCTCGTGCCCCAAGGATCCTCAAAGATCTTCTTTTCTACCTTTTACAATAAATCTTCCCTCTGTCCCACCTTCTCATCGCCCATCCGCTGCTCAGCCCACCGGCGCGCTTCCGGGTCTCGCTGCTCCGCTGAATTCCGCTCGAGGTGGTGGCCCATGACCTGTCAACTCTGACGTCCGTGGACACATCTCAGGCTGCGTCTTCATTATCCTGCTTCCTCCTCCAGGAAGCTCTCGTCAACCTTCCGAGGTGCCAGCGCCTCCCAGTTCCCTTCCTACCTCACCAGCTGCTCCTCCAAGGTCTCCTTCCAGAAGTCTCGGCCATTCTCTGCACCTCTGCTTCCTCATTTCCAACGCCCCTCCCCCCGCCCCCGCCCCATCCCCGGCAATCTGAGCCCTGTCAGCGACTTTAATTGTCTTTTTTTCTGGCTATTAACTCCCAAGTGTCATCTCTACCCCAGACCACAGACAATAATCTCCTGCCAGGTCAGACGCCAGCCCTGCCTGCCTTGTGGGCAGCGGGAGCCAGACAGGCCTCACATTCCCCTTCTAGACGGGGCTCTCTGGGTGGGCAGGTCCACTGGGGTCCTTGCCTGGAGCTCCTGGAGAGGACATTTGTCCCTCCTAGTCAGCCATCGTTTGTTTCCCTTTTCCCCCACCCTCAAACACTTGGACCTGGCTTTTAAGGACTGATTCATTCATCCACTCAACAAATATTTATTGATCTGAGCAATATTCTACACCCACGGTTCTTAATCTTGGAAATCACTTGAGATTCAAAGAACACGAATGTCCAAGTCCCACCCCTAGGAGTCACACACAATGAGATTTTTACTGCTCCTCGAGTGACCTGAATGTGCAGCCAGGGATGAGGCCCACTCGGAGGTTGGATAGGCGACAAATAATCTATTAAAACAAGAAAAATATCAGCTGACGATAGTGCAACTCAGAGAACGCACGCTGGGTGGCAGGCTGGTTCAGAGTGGCCCCTTCGGTGCCGCGGGAAATTGAGGGGCAGGGCCCTGACCAGTGGGGAGGACTCCGGGGGGCCGCGTTCTCGGGTGGGGCTCCCAGGACGGCTCTGCCTCTCCTCAGCCAAAGTCTACGTGGGAATAAAACAGGAGATCGCGGAGGCGCGGATACCGGCCCTCAACGCCTACATGAAGGTAACAGTAGGGCCAGGCCGCGGGGTGCTGCCAGGGGTGGGGGTAACCCGGGTACCACCTCTTAGGGAACTAAGGCTGGTTCTCCTACTCGGATGGCCTGCGAAGTCAGTCTCTAACGGTTTGGCCTGGGAAGAGAAAGAGGATGCTTTC